CTCTCCTCTTTCTTTGATCTGTCTGTGCACCTTTGTTGAATATCAGTTGACTGTATATTTACTATTTCCTACAGGCCTACATGAAAGGTTGGCACTCAGGCAGCTCCTTCATTGTCCCTATACTGATTTACAGATTGCAGAGTGGTTTTTTCCCATTGGGCAGAGATTGTTCAGCAGTGAGAAACAGGGGCACTGGTCCCATTGACACCTAGGGCAGTGGACACATCCTGAGAACTTTGGTAACCAAAATGAGTCCTGCCTTTTCAGGATGGGAAGGCCCAGGCAGCAGTCATCTGCTATCTGCTGACTTCATTCTAAACCCTCTTGTGTATTCCCTGGTGTCCACAGGAATCTAATTGGGGACTCTTGAGAAGAAAAGGTCCTCTGCAGCACTGCATGTGAAAGAATTATGCAGCTGCATATTACCTACAACATGGGTGACTCAGGAACGGATGTCGAGAATAGTAAGCAAGTCACAGAAGGACACAAGTCACAGAAGGACACGTGTACTAAGATTCTATTTATATGAAAACAAAACAGATGAAACCAAATAATATATGGTTTATAGATACATTGAAGTATGATAAAACTATACAGAATTTAGGATGTTGGTTTCCTCTGGGTAGAAGAAGGAGGGCCACTGAGGAAGGGCATTTGAGAGGCTAATGGTACTAGTAATGCTTGATTTTTTAGCTGAGTGGCGAGTGTACAGGCACTGAAATTGTGTTGTTATTGTTTCTCTTTAAACAATATGTGTCCATTTCACACACTGTCACATAGAATGAAAATTATCCAGCCATTGCATCTTTTTTTTTTTTAATTAAAGTATAATGTATTATTAGCCCCAGGGGTACAGGTCTGTGAATCGCCAGGTTTACACACTTCACAGCACTCACCATAGCACATACCCTCCCCAATGTCCATAACCCCACCACCCTCTCCCTCCCCCCTCCCCAGCAACCCTCAGTTTGTTTTGTGAGATTGAGTCTCTTATCAGCCATTGCATCTTATTTCCCCAGGAGAGATAAATAAATATTCCTTCTTCATACAGGCCGGACCATTGGAGTTTTATTTGTATAGCCAGGTGTCTGAAGGAAGGGAAGCCAAACTCTTTTTTTTTTTTTAATTTTTTTTAAATTTGTTTTCAGCGTAACAGTATTTATTGTTTTTGCACTACACCCAGTGCTCCATGCAGTCCGTGCCCTCTCCAATACCCACCACCTGGTTCCCCCAACCTCCCACCCCCTACCCCTTCAAAACCCTCAGATTGTTTTTCAGAGTCCATAGTCTCTCATGGTTTACCTCCCTTCCAATTTCCCTCAACTCCCTTCTCCTCTCTAACTCCCCTTGTCCTCCATGCTATTTGTTATGCTCCACAAATAAGTGAAACCATATGATAGTTGACTCTCTCTGCTTGACTTATTTCACTCAGCATAATCTCTTCCAGTCCCATCCATGTTGCTACAAAAGTTGGGTATTCGTCCTTTCTGATTCTTCATTGACATTTGGTGTCTTGGTTTGCCCTGAGGGCTCATCCTTCTTTTGGACTCCTGGTGATGCAGAGGTCACTGGTGATGCAGAGGTCAATCAAAGACCTAACCATCCCTTGGTCCCCTGCTGCTTGAGTAGTCAGGGAGAATTTCCTCTTACCTTAGGTTTTTGGACTCTCAGAATGGAGAAGGAATGACAGTGGCCTTTCAGTAAGGACACCAAGAATAAGAGAGGGCCAAGCCCCATGTCAGGCTCCCTGCTCAATGGGGAGTCAGCTTTTCCCTCTGCCCCTCTCCACTGTGCTCTCTCTCACTCACTTTCTCTCTCTCAGATAAATAAATAAAATCTTAAAAAAAAAAAAAAAAAGACAAGGAGATCTCCTCAGGAGTTGGTTACCGTGGTCACTGAGAAACCCCTGCAAAGGCATATCCCTTCAGACCGACGTCTGACAGTTATGAATCCAGAGCAGATACTGGAAGTGTCATCACTTCAAGTAGATTAGGATCTGAGAGACCAGATAACAGTAACTGGACCACCCAGTGAGTCACTTCAGTTATTTCATGTATGCTCTGAGGATAATGAAAGTTACTGCTTCCAGAGCCAGGGTGAGGGGTAGCTGTGACCCAAGGTAGCCGTTCTGCGCCAGTACTAAAATCAGCTTCCATTTACTGAGTTCCTGCCCTGGGCCAGGCCCCATAATGAGTGCTTTTCCAGCACTGCCTTGTGAATTTCTGTCTTCCTCTTTCCCATTTTGTTTTGAGGCTTCAGAGTATAGAGAGAGGAAATGCTAGAGATAATCTCTCTCATCTGTGCTCTTTTTTCTGGAAGTGTTGGAAGGATGTTGTCCAGGAAGCCTTTGAGTGGTACTAGACTTGCTTCTGAGAAGCTTCATGTTAGAGCTACACAGGTGGAGGGTGAGCCCAGGACCTGGAAAGGTACAGATAGTAAGCAGTAGGAGGAGAGCAATTCTTACCTCCTAGTACCTGTTGATCCCTCTTTTTTCTGTAAACAGTAGAGTTATCTTGTGGCCCGAATTGATGAGGTCATGGTATGAGGAGAGTGCTGAAAATCTTGGCTGGGCCCTGGGGGAGCTGGTGGAGGAGCTAAGACAGCAGAAGAGGGACTTCAGACCACACTGTGGGCCTCATAAGGCTAAGAAGCAGAGAGCACAAGTCATCAGATGAGCCATTTGGAGAGGGTAAAGGGGAGGAAGCCGGGTGAGAATCGAAGGACGCCAGATGCTACAATGCCTTGGTCCCCTACAGACTTCTGCTCTGTACCTGGCTCCGCTGCAAGTAGTCCTGTGACTTTGGGAGAAACCTGTCTGAGCTGTGTCTCCCCATCAGCCCTGTAAGAAGATTGTTGGGAAGGCAGAAAACTGTAAGGTATATGACGTGCTTGGTGCAGTTGGTGTTAACTAGTAAACACTGAGAAGAATCTGTTCCTGTCCCTTTCTCTGACAAAACAGAGATTAAAGCATGTCCTGTTCCAGAAGATCTGCCCTGGATGTGGGTGAGAGCAAAGTCCGCAGTTTCTGAGCAATCGGGGAAAACTAGGGGACTGAGGCTTCAAAGGCTCAGTGACGTCAGGGAGTGAGATGGCTAAAAGGCTGATGGGATGCTGTAGTCCAAGAGTAGGTTCTGGAGGAGAAGATTTCATAGATGTTCTGGGTGCTGTTTTACTGCTATGGCATTGAGATTGAGGAGTAGTGAGCCCAGAATGGGGCGTGGGCCTTTCCCTGATCTCTCAGAGACGGACCGTCTTGGCTGTGGAAGAGAAGACTGAGCACATTCAGAAGCTGTTTGAAATGTTGTGGCATGACTAGGAGGGCATAGAGGTGAACAGTGAAGAGAAGAAAGAGCTTGTGTCTCTGAGGGAATGAAAGTACTGTGCCAGCATAGAAGGCAATAGTCTGGGAACAGCCATGAGGAACCTTGGCTTTGATGCAGGATGAGGCTGAGTCATGGGTTGCCTCTACTCAAGAGGGCCATAGGGCAAGGCTATGTGCAAAGGAGGTCAGACTATACTCGTTAGAGGCTGTGAGGCTTACACTCGATGCCTTGGACTGGGCTGCTGCTGCCCCAGGTGCTATGGTTAGCATTGTTTCCCTCTGACTGGTCATGTAGTTCTTCTATTGATAGTGAGGCTCCAGACTTTCATCTTGTACCTAAAAACTGCCTCCGCCTCCCCGACTTCTTCCCATGTCCCATTAACATGCACTCACAAGCACACATACTCACTAGGCCTCTCTGCCTTCTGAAATCCCACCTCCTCAGGAAGACTTCAGCTTGAAGTCTCCGAAGTTCCTCACCTTGGCCTTTGCTTTTTTTGTCCTTACAATCTCCAGAGCTTTGGGGCTACCTTCCTAGAGCTACAGCTCGAGGAATCAGTCCCTCTTCTTTGTCTTCTGTCCTCTGCTTTAGCAGTTAGATATTGATGACAGTATTCCCAAGCTTGTGCCCTGAACTCCAGGAAGTAATTTCTTTCTTCTACAGATCTGAAAACAAAGAAAGAAAGACTGTTAGAAGAAAAGAAGGCACACAGCTTGGACCAACTCCAGAGAGCAGGAGTCTTATGAGTACTCTGGTGCTTCATTTAAGTCTCCAAAGCAAGCCCAGTCTTAACACTTGTCATTTTAGCTGTCTGTCCTTTCTTTGGTCTGCCCCCTAGGGCCCATAATGAGCTACTCTGTATGACCTTGGCCACCCAGAAACAGCAGCTGTCTTTGGACCTGAATCCTTGAACTGAGAAAGCCACATCCATTGTCCACATCCCACCCATCTTTTTTTTTTTTTTCTTTTTAAGATTTTATTTACTTATTTGATAGAGAGATACAGAGCACAAGTAGGCAGAGCAGCAGGCAGAGGGAGAGGGAGCAGCTCTAGAGTAGCAGGCCTCTACTGTCTGTAGAATCCCCTGTTAACTAATTCAGATGTTCCTTTGCTGGGCACAGGGACCTTTAGGTCCCTTCACCAGTCCTTTACCTGAGATATTCAGATAAATAGACCAAAGAAATAAAGTAGCTCAGAAATAAACTTTCACATATTAATTTATTGACATATACTGAGACCCTGGTGCTCTTTGCTGAACTTTAAGTGAGCGATGTGGTCTCTTTAGAGCCAAATCAGCTTTGACCAAAATAGGAGAAAGGAGAGTTTGTAAACTCAGTAGTGGAGCAGACATACCCAGAGTCTTTTTCAGTGTGTTTCCCTGCAAGACGCCCACAAGTGAATGTGAATGTTGCCTCTCTCCCAGCAGCTGATAACTTATTCACTTGTTTTTTTCTAATTTTATGGAAAGTCTGTGATGCCTCATTTCTCTCTGAAGCTCCAGGAGTGTGCATTGGCTTCCCTAGAACACAGGACTCAGGATAAAAATTGTGTAACTAAAGCATTACAGATACTAGTCTCTAGTTACCAGTGTGGTGTGCCCTGATACGTGCAAGGACATTGGGATCTGGCCCCCAGGATCCAGCCCTCCAGCTCTGACCAGCTCTCTTTTCCTTCCAGGGAAGGTGCACTTCTTCTCTAGTGGTCTTCTTTTTTCTCACCGTCATCATGGGAGTATCGTCCTTTCCAAGGATCACATGAATTCCATTTCGTTCTATGATGGGGTAGGTGTTTTATCAGTCCATGGCTTTGATGTTCAAAAGGATACTCAACACTTCTGAGACAAAAACCAAATAACTCCCTGTCCCTGCTCCACCACCATGGGTCAGGATGTCAGGAACCAGCATTGCCCTTGAGGCAGGCAGGCAGGGAGTTCATGAGAGGCCTATCCATTTGTCAGTCTGACTGCTCCATAAAGGGCTTAGCTGGAAAGGAGTTCTGGGTCAGGAGGGCCAACAGCCACCCATGCCCACTTAACTTATCCCAAAGAGGACCAGAAAGTAGGCTGAAGAAGGCCTTAAATGGCCCTATCCTACCCAGGAACACAAAGGCTCACTCACTTAAGAACTGGAAAGAAGGGACGCCTGGGTGGCTCAGTTGGTTAAACGGCTGCCTTCAGCTCAGGTCATGATCCCAGCGTCCTGGGATCGAGTCCCACATCGGGCTCCTTGCTCAGCAGGGAGCCTGCTTCTCCCTCTGCCTCTGCCTACCACTCTGTCTGCCTGTGCTCTCTCTCTCCTCTCTCTAACAAATTAAAAAAAAAAAAAAAAAAGAACTGGAAAGAAGCTGTTCTTCTAACATTGATGGGGCTCAACTCATCCATTAGCATGAGAAAGAATTCTAAGTGATCCAGAGAGAAGAGAAATGGCTCACTTTCCCCATGAGGGCTCAGCCCTACCCCTGGACATACTCAGACTTCCCCTCCACCTCTGTGAAAGTTCTACCCCCAGAGCCACCCTTTAACTTCACCAGTTTGCTTAACATTTTCCCCTCCCCTTGCAAGGAAGACAGCTATGAGTTCTCCCTAGGCTGTTCTCCTGGCCAAGGTACAGCTCATCTCTCAGTATGACACCAGAGTGGAGAGCAGGCCCTCTATTGTGTTTGGTTTCAGCCTCAAAACCAGCCTGTTTGGGAGTCAAGACAGACTAGGTGAGGTGGTATGGTCAGATGGCTCAGAAAATAAGTTCTGTGAACAATTCAGAGAAAATTATATCTTTCTTCCACATAGAACTTGTTGTCTTAAAGGGTGTTCAAAAGTGCAAGCAGGCCAACAAGATTGAATGGATGGCATTATTAGATGAAAACTTTGATGAGAGAAGAAAAGGTGAATCATTCAAGTGCTGGGACAGTAAGTTAGCTAACTTGGAGCAGGGCAGAATGGATTCTTACCTCTTATCAAAAATCAAAATAAACTTCTGATAGATTAAATATTTTTAAATTTCAAAAGAAGAAAGAAGAGTACAAAAATGAATAAGTATTAAACTTCCAGGGACAGGAAGACTTCATAAGCTTAGTAATGACACAAGAAATTCCAAAGGAAAAGTCTGTCAGATTTGACCACTTAAGGATTTTAAATATTTTTGCCAATAATTTAATTTGTTGACATATACTTTAAATACAATGTAAGTACAACTAACTAACCATTTAAAGTTTTGACAGGTGTATACCTATGTATATACTCATCAAACCGCTGTCACAATTAAGGTACAGACAGCTTTCGTCACCCTTGAAGTTTTCTAATGCGCTTTTGCAGTTCCTCTTTCCCTCCACTTCTGGCTTTCTGTCACTGTAAATCAATATGCGGTTCTAAAATGTTATATAAACGGGGTTTCCTGGGGTGGCTCAGTCTGTTAAGCATCTGATTCTTGATTTTGGGTCAGCTTATAATCTTAGGGTCTGGGATGAAGTCCCTTATTAGGTTCCACAGTCAGCGGGGAGTCTGCTTACAGATTTTTCTCTCTCTCCCTGTCTGCCCCTCCCCCTGCTTGGGAGCATACTCTCTCTCGGATAAATAAATAAATCTTTAAATAAAATAAAATGTTGCATAAATGGATATCATACCTTCTATATCCTTCTAAGTTTGACATTTTTCACTCAGTATAATGATTTTTATTTTTTTAATTTTTTAATTATTAATTTTAAAAAATATTTTATTTATTTATTTGTCAGAGAGAAAGAGCAAGCACAAGCAGGCAGAGGCAGAGAGAGAAGCAGGCTCCCCGCTGAGCAAGGAGCCCAATGTGGGACTCGATCCCAGGACACTGGGATCATGACCTGAGCCGAGGGCAGTGGCTCAACTGACTGAGCTACCCAGGCGTCCCAATTTTTTATTTTTTTAAAGATTTTATTTTCATTTTCATTGACAAAGAGGGAGCACAGGTAGGCAGAGAGGAAGGCAGAGGGAAAGGGAGAAGCAGGCTCTCCGCTGAGCAGGGAGCCAGATGTGGGGCTCGATCCCAGGACCCTGGGATCATTACCCGAGCTGAAGGCAGCTGCTTAACTGACTGAGCCCCCCAGGTGCCCCAGTATAATGGTTTTTAGATTCATCCATGAATAGTATTCCTTGTTTGGGTATAGCATAAAATTTATCAGACTAATTTATAATTTGAAGCTCTAAAAATTAAAGAAGTTCTAGATAAATGAAACAATACTCTATGTTCATGGATAGGAAGATTTAACATTGTTAAGACCACAATTTTACTAAAGCAGTCTACAGATTCAGTGCAATTCCTATCAAAGTTCAATGGCATTTTTTACAGAAATAGAAACCCATCCTGAAATTCATATGGAATCTCAGGGTATCCCCAAGTAGCCGAAATAATCTTAAAAAAGAACAGAGGTGGAGAACTCACACTTCCTGATTTCAAAACTTACTACAAAGCTATAGTAATTAAGCAACAGGGTGGTATTGGCATAGATTCAGATAAATAGACCAAAGAAATAAAGTAGCTCAGAAATAAACTTTCACATATGTAGCTAAATGATTTTTAACAGGGTGCCAAGACCATTCAAAGGTATCTTCAACAAATGGTGCTGGGAAAATTAGACATCCACATGCAAAGAATGAAGTTAGATCCTGACTTTATGCCGTATACAAAAAACTTAACTCAGAATGGAGCATAAGTCTAAGAACCAACACTGTTAAATACTTAGAAGAAAACGTAGGAGCCATTTGCAATGATGTGGATAGAACTAGAGGGTATGAAGCTAAGTGAAATAAGTCAGAGAAAGACAATTACATGATCTCACTGATCTGTGGTATTTAAAAAAACAAAGTGGAGGATCGTATAGCGGAAGAAAGGAAAAAATGAAACAAGGCAAAATCATAGAGGGAGACAAACCATAAGAGACTGAATCTCAGGAAACAAACTGAGGGTTGCTAGAGGGGATGAGGTGGCTGGGTGTTGGACATTGGGGAGGGTATGTATTGTGGTGAGCGCTGTGTATTGTGTAAGACTGATGAATCATAGTCCTATACCCCTGAAACAATATATTATATGTTAATAATAATTTAAAAAAAACATAGAAGTAAAATCCTCGTGACCTTGGAGTAGGCAGTGATTTCTTGGATTATGACACTGACAACACAGACAACAAAAGAAATATATAAATTGGAAAATTCATCAAAATTAAAAACTTCTGTGCATCAAAATACAGTATCAAGAAAGTGAAAAAAAAAAGTGAAAACAACCCACAAAATGAGAGAAAATATTTACAAATCATGGTTAGCCTAGCTGGCTCGGTTTAGGATGTTGTGACTCTTAATTCTGGGGTCATGAGTTCAAGCCCCACATTGGGTATAGAGATAACTTTTTAAAAGAATTGCATATCGGGGTGCCTGGGTGGTGAGTCATTCTGGCATCCAACTCTTGATTTCAGCTAAGGTTTTGATCTCAGGGTTGTGAAATCGAGCCCCACATTGGTCTCTGTGCTTGGTGGGGAGTTGGCTTGAGATTCCCTCTCCCTCTCCCCCCCAAAATAAATAAATAAATCTTTTTTAAAAAATCATATATCTGATTAGGGATTGATACTAGAAAGAATTTTGAGATGACATTTTCAATTTAGGGGAAAAGACCCTTATACTTGCTGTATCTCCCTTAACTGGGTATTGGAAAGCACATCTATCATTGGACCCCAGTATACCACATAATGTGAAAACAATTGCAGGGAAATTTGTCATATGTGTCCGGACAGTATTGTGAGGGGTAGTGTCATGCAGATGCTTTTCTCACTGATGCTCCATCTTTTTTCTCTTTAGGACTCCACAAGTGTTGTTGCTGCCCTTCTGATAGACTTCAAAAGCTCATCACTTCCTTATCTCCCAGTTCATTTCCATGGATCAAGCAATTTTCTGATGATTGCCCTGTTCCCCAAATCAAAGATATACCAAGCATTTTACTCAGAGGTAACACCAATCATTGGTCAGCAAAACAAATACTACTTTTTTTTTCCTTAGGAGCTTAGATGGTAAGGCCACATCTGAGGGCTAACAGCAAGGTGATGAGAGGCTGCTTCTAATCCTCTTGGGTCCTGGAGTGGTGCTTTTGCCATTGAGAGGAGAACCTAAAGGAACTGAACGAAAGGCTTTTTAGCTGCTAAGACAAATCTTCTTTGTCCCTTTAAGTCCTAATTAAACTCATTTTTCTTTTAGCTACCTTATTGAATTATCTGACCCTACCTAATGGATCAGAGCTGTACTCTACCCTAGTCTCTCCCTTCCCATGGTTCACAGGCCCTTCCCTTGTGAAGTCCCACCTGGCAGGCTCCATGTTATAGGCGCTTGGTACAGATTGCTTGAGAAGGAAGCTTACCAAGAATTATACAGCCCTCTTAGAGACCAGGCAATAACCAAAGTTAAACACATGGCCAGCCTCTTGACTGGTGGCCATGTTCAGAAAGGTCTGATTGCCGCAGCCTGTGAAGAGACCGTGTCCCTCTCTCAGGGGAGACTGACTGAACACAGAAGAGAGAAGAAGAGCTGGTCTGGCCGCAGAGTGGCATCTCAGGCTAGTCCATGTCTCCTCTTACTGCCTGCTGGTCCTCCCGTGCTCTTTGCGTGTCCCCGAGAAAGAACCCTTTAGATTGTCTTTAGCGATCCCTCTGCCTCTATGCAAGGGTGAACCACTTCTTCTTCTGGTCCTGTCCCCAGGGAAGAACAGGCCCCTGCTGCCAGAACAGTGTTACCTGACGCATTCTTCCGTGCTTCCTGGCCTCTGAAGGAGCAGAATCTCTGGGAGAGGAACCCAGAAAGAAATTCTAGTTTTGAAAAATACAGAACAAAATTGCTGCAGGCCTCTATTTTTGAAACAAACTTGTTTGTTATGATGGTTTTTCTCTGTACTGTCGGTCTAGATTTTCAACAACCATCAAATCCCCATGTGGATTCCATATCCTGTTGTTGGGTTTAAAGTGTTCTTTGCTCAAATTCTGTTTTGTTTAGGTCTTCTCCCCCTGGCAACAGCAGGCTAACTCAGGGCTGTCTTTAAAAGTGATCCAGGAAGATGGATTATCTGTGGAACAAAAGAGATTGTAAGTGGCTGCCTTCAGTGTTTATGCTTGTTTCCCTAAGCTGTGTGTGTCTGCTGTGTCTGCAGGGCGACTTACGTAACACAGGGGGCTTGGCTGCTGAAAGGGCCAGCACAGTCATTCCAGCGCTGCCACTTGCAGGTAGCCAGTGCCCTTGGGGAAAGAGAAGTGAAGAGAGATGAAATCCACAAGAATCAGAAACCCATAATATCACCAAGGGTTTCAGGTGAACCTTCCTCTGTGGGCACACCCGTCCTCATACAGTAATGCCGCATTGTGTTCAAGTCCGTGAGATGCTTGTTTTGGAAGTGTTGACTGTGTCACGGGACTCTGGCTTGAAAGCATCAGAACAAGTTATGTAAAGTATGTGTGCTGTAGGGAGATGGAGTTCTAATCTGTGAACTTTTGATATTCCAGACACTCCAGTGCCCAGAAGCTCTTCAGTGTCCTGGGCCATTCTGCTGGGGAGAAACAGAGTCCTCTAAAGGTCCTCCCAGCCAAACTTCCAGAGCTAGACTGGTGAGCTCCAGTTTGCTGTATGTAAATGTTCAATGTTCTGGCTTTTGAAATGTCAGGAACCTCTGTGTTGGTCCTAAGCTCCTTTTTCTTTGTAGCTTCTTAGGGATCGGTGTATAAGGTGGTAGTGATACCATAAACAATTTTATTCTCTAGAGTGAATCTCTCTAAGTTTCTTTTTTAGCAGTTAAATAGTTTCCTATGTGAAGGAGCAGATTTAGGCAAGGCTAGTGATGTAACATAATAGCATTGTCTTTATTTTTCTAGGTTTCTTCAGCATTTCGCCATCAGCAGCATTAGTCGGGAGCCTGTGATGAGTACCCATCTCCCTGTCCTGCTACAGCAAGCCGAAATCAACCCTGTTCACCGAGTAGAAAATGACAAGGTATAGCAGCTCAGCAAGTATGCTGGGAGGTCACAGGAAGATAATCCCGATAGGCTGTCCTTGGATCTTCTGTCAGTTAATGAAAAGAGATCAAGCAGAGTCCCTTCGTAAGACTCTCCACCTCCTAGGATACCGATAGTATAATACACATGAAACCTACCCTGCACAGTGAGAGTGTACAGGCATCTACAGTGACCCCAGCCAAGCCCCGGAGCAGCCATAAAACCCTGGGCCCTTGCTGTGCCTCCCCTGGCTTCTCTGTGTCTTTCAAATTCTTGCTCAGTGTGCTCTCGTGCCATCAGCTCTTTCTGTTTGTGATAAGGACTTACCTGGCAGCCGGTGACACACTGAGCTTCATAAGAGGAAGGGACTTGTTACTTGGGCCGTGCTGGCATTACCAGGGTAAGGTGATACTTTATAAACATCATCTTCCCAAGAGTAGATTTTAATCTGCTCCCATCTCACATGCCCCTCCTCTTGATACCTCCCACCATTTCTTCAGAACCAGATGTCATAATATGCTCAGAGAGGGCATTATTTATATGCAAACCTAGAAGATGCTCAGTTGCAAAAGATAATAAGAGCACCAAGCAATTAGGAGCCTTGATTTTCCCTTAGGCAAGAGTTTAAAAATGAAGATGACTACCTGCTGTATTTTATTAAAAGGGTGCTATAGGACTGGCCTTAAAGTAAGAAGGTATCTGTCTATGAGCACATGTGCTGTGATTTGAGAGGCAGGGGCCTGGGCGCTGAGGAATAGGAACCAAGGAGAGGAGGAGGAGGATAATGAAAAAGTTGCATGAAGTACTGCCTGCAGGAGCAGAAAGGGATATAGAGTAGGGGACTGGTCAGAGAAGAGGAAGAACTCCTGGTTCCCAGAAGAGAAGAGTGCTCTCTCTCTCTCTGCTGATGTGACGGGCTCAAGTGATGAGTACCACCAAGCTGAGCTTTAGTCTGAGTTATCTGTGACCAGGCCCGTTCCTGGTGAGTCTTGTATGTTGTGACAGAAAACACATGCTATGTCTTTTAAATCGATAACCATTCACAATTACCTGGTTCCTTTCCTCCCCTGCTTGACTCCTGCTCTGTCAGGGGATTTCTTCAAGTTGTTTTGGAATGCATACGTGTGGAGGGCCCTGTTTTCATTTGATTGTGTGCTAAGGCTAGGGCAGTCCAGCTCCTCTTCTAGTCAAGATTCAGGAGTGCTTCCTACACCCTGTTTGTTTCCTTAGCTCAGGCCATGCAATTTGGACAGATTGGGCAGCTAGGCGGAAATATCCCCACGCCACTCCTTTTCTTCACTGAGCTTACTTACCATACCAGTTTAGCCTGTGACATTTTGTCTGAGACTTCCTTTCTGCCCAGTGTTTTCTGTTGTATTTTAACTGATCTAGTCAAACCTGCTCCATGGAAATTGTATTAGTAACACCACATTTTATATGGTATTTGCTATGTGCCACAGACTGTTCTAAGCACTTAAATATTAACACTCATATAAATAAACTCAGTTAATCATCACACCCACCCTGCAAGATAGGTTCTGTTATGAGCCCAAGGTCACATAGCTAGATGAGTGCTGGTGCTGAGGTTCAGACCTACAGAACCTGGCTCCAGAAGTCAGTTCCCGTAACCTTTTTTTTTTTTTTTTTAAGATTTTATTTATTCGACAGAGAGTGAGATCACAAGTAGGCAGAGAGAGAGGGAGAAGCAGGCTCCCTGCTGACCAGAGAGCCCGATGTGGAGCTTGATCCCAGGACCCTGAGATCATGACCTGAGCAGAAGGCAGAGGCTTAACCCACTGAGCCACCCAGGCACCCCAGTTCTTGTAACCTTTTACACAACACTATCTCCCAGCTGAATGACGAACTCACGTGACTTTTCTTTCATGTAGGTAATTGTCAGCATTGTAACTGGCCTCCCAGGCTGTCATGCTAGCGAGCTCTGTGCTTTTCTGGTCACTCTGCATAAGGAATATGGCAGGTTAGTATAGCTGCTGCCTTTGCTTTGGGAAAGGGATTCTGTGCCTGGGCCCCATAGACACTGGGAAACCTTCAGCGTGTACTGGCCTTTGGTGTGATTGGTATCAGCATGGTAACCATCCATCCATTTAACACATTTGTACTGAGAACTTCCTATATGCCAGGCACTGTTCTAAGTGTGGGTAACAAATGAACAACTAGAAAGTGAATGAACTAGAACAACTGGTTCTAGAACAAAAACAAATGAACAGCTAGAAATGAACTAGAAAGTCTCTGCCCTTGTGGAGCTTACATTCTAGTTTGGAAATACGATTAACCAGTTAAGGAAGGTAGTATATTAGCCATGAAAAGTGCTGTGGAGAAAACAAAGTAGAGAAGGGTGTAGAAGAGTACTAAGTTGGGGGAGGGAGTACAACTTTAAATTGGGTGCTCAAGGAAGACCTCACTGAGAAGGGGACATTTGAGCAGAGGCCTGAGAAAATGAGGAGTGAACCTTTGGAAATCTGGGGACGAGCAGTGTAGCAGCAGAACCAGCACAGGCAAAGGCCTGGAAGTATGCCTGTTCAACAGGGCCATTCAGGACCAGGGAAGTTAGAACTTGGGAGCTGGTGGGTGTGATCCAACCCCGACCACCAGGGGACTGCATCAGTTCCAGTGCAGCTGGGACATGTAGGCTTAGGGGAAACTGGGGAAATCATTCATCCATCACATTCTGTGGCCAGCAGATTACTAAACAACCCTGGCTAGCTGAACAGACAGTTAATATCTAGTCAGTACCTCAAAGTAAGGCATCCCGCAGGAGGCCATAAACGAATGGAGAAGGTGGTACTTGCCTAGAAGTTTGGGAGTTTGGGGAGATTTGGGGGGTTGGATAAGTTTTAGAGACATGATAGGGAAATATTGGGACTCTTAAGTACCAAGTGGCTAGCCAGTTCCTCCCTCATATCCATTGCTTTTGCTGTAGAAATAGTCTGAATTCTTTTCCCTGCTCACTTCCTTGCAAGAGTTTTACTGAGTACCAGACTGAAACCATTTTATTGGATGGTCCTTCAGGAAATGACTGCCTGTTCAGAAGGAGTCTTTCTCAACTCCAAAGTCTGATTGATGGTCATGTGCTTTACCTGACCTTTTTCCTTATGGCACGGCATTTCCTATCAGAAGTTCCAGTGATGGTGGTTTCAGGACACAGAGCTCCCCACCCAGTGCTCTCTGCCTGCTTCTGTGATGCCAGGGTTGCTTTCTCCTGTGCAGAGTTACCAGGCAAAATGTCTGTGGGAGTACTGGTCATACTTGGATCCACAGGCTGAGCCTCTGGGGCCAGGCTATCAGTTGGCCCCCATGCTGAGATTATGCTTGCCATTTCCAGGTGGATGGTATACCGCCAGATCATGGATAGTTCTGAATGTTTTCATGCTGCCCACTTCCAAAGATACCTTTCCAGCGTCCTAGAGGCTCAGCAGAACCGTTCTGCCCGCCAGTCAGCCTACACCCGTAAGAAGACCCGACTGTTGGTGGTGTTGCAAGGGTGAGTACTAGAAGTCTTCTGGGAACAGTGGGGTATGGTGATGACCTTACCATTACTGTTATTTTTTATGTGGCTAGCCTGGGGCACAGAAAGACCTCCACATGTTCGTGAGCAGAGTCTGCACTATCCAGAGAGGCCTTAAACAAGGCCTCTGGTTGCTGTCTAGTGGCCCAGAGTGGCTGCAATAGCTTACACATAAGTTTTTAGTTTGGTGTCAGAGCGCCTGGGTAGTTCAGTCAGTTAAGCGTGCGACCCTTGATTTCGTCTCAGGGTTTATGAGATCGAGTCCTGCATCAGGCTCCAAGCTGGGCATGGAACCTGCTTGAGATTCTCTCTCTCCCTCTCCCTCAACCTTCCCTCTCTCTCTAAAAAATTAAATGAAATTAAAAATTAAGTTTAGTTTCAGTATCATGGTATCCCCAAAAGGTAGAGAATTAGGGAAGAGATTTTCTGGGCAAGATTCCTTGATAATTCTTATAATAATACCAATCCCTAAGCCTCTTCCTTTGCCGTGTATTTCAGTCCTTCCTCATGTGGAGTTGCAGAGACAACCCCCACACTCTGTAGTCTTGAGCCCCACCATGCCCAGAATGGCTGGTCCAGGAAGGTTTCCTGGGACCCTCAGTGGGGAGCATAAATAGTCCAGCTGGGCAGGGAGCTCCCTGGTGAGGACAGATTTGACAGAGTGAATACTACTGCTTCAGGGACCCTGGCTGCAAGGAGCTTACCTTGACGTGTTCTGAGGCCTTCCAAGGAGGTGCCTTGTGCAGGCCCACTACTCTTCAGGCCCAGAAGAGATCATGCCAGGTCAGGAAAACACAGGCTGTGGTCTTCATGATGGCTGGTAATACAGAAGCTTTTGGCAGTTCTCACAAAGTGCTTTTATGCTGTGCTGTATTTTCTGTGCTCATAATAATTACTATGTGCAGTTGGCTAATTGTTTCCAGTAAAGAGTAGGCCCGGATCCAAAGCCCTATTAAGTCTCCTGGGTAGATGGTGAGAAGTAGAGAAACGTCAGGCGGGTGGTCCTAAGGCCAAAGGTGGGTAGGACTGTGTACTCCACCAGACCATCTTTCTTCTCCTTCAGGCCTTATTCTCACACCTGCCCTGGGCTTCCCTTCCATCAAACCTTTTGTCCGGCTTGTAGGCCAAGGTCATGGAAGATGCAGAGCAAGAGTCTAGGCTTGAAACCACGTGTGTGTGTGTGTGTGTGTGTGTGTGTGTGTGTGTGTGTATTTTTAAGTGGGCTCCATGACCAGCACAAAGCAGGGCTTGAACTCACAACCCTGAGATCAAGACCTGGGCTGAAATCAAGTCAGACGCTCAATGGACTGAGCCACCCAGGCACTGCAGAACCACTTGTTTTCTTCCGGTTTTCCATTGCTTCTAATGATCAAAGGAATGGATCAGCCCCTGCCAAAGTTGAGGGTCATCATGCGTGTGGACCTGAAGTCAAATTCAGCAGTTTGACATTGTATAGTCATTGTATAGCATTGCAATCTTCTGTCACTTGAGAGAACATCGTTGGCCCCTTGTCTCTGACAATACTTGTCTGCAAAAGTGTCAGCTGCCCCAGCTGCTCTGGATGGCAGTGAGAGTGTATAGCTAGCCCACTCGTGTGCTCTTACCCAGCATTTGCCTAGTCATAGTCCTGGGATGCTAGGGACCTCAGACTTCCTGAAGGACTCAAGTGGAAATATCAGCTGAGTGCTGTGGCTCTCACTAAGACACTGCTCCTACAAACAGGGCCCATTCTCTTGTGGCTCGGCAGGGAGCTCTTGGCAGCCTCCTTTTTGCATGACCATCTCCTTTGGGGCTGGACCTTTGAGCCCAGTATTGAGAGGTTGCCAGTAAAGGGAGACTCCAGAGGCTTCTCAAACTGAGAATTGTATTTTCTAAATGTGGCTTTTATCTTCATTTATAGGATTCTTAGGGGAATGTGGTGGTATAAGGCAGGGTTTTCTTTTGCCTCTAGAGTGGCCTGGTTCCATTTGGCTTTACTACAGCAGTGGAGCAGTGGTGTTGACCTTTGATAGCCAGTGGAGTTGCTGTTTTTAAAATCAATATATTTTGAAATGATAAAATTTTAGAAGTAGAGGACAGAGTGGTAGTTGCTCAGAGTTAGGGATGGGAGTGTGAAGCGGGAGGAAGGTGGGCATGGTTGTAAAAGAGGCAGCACAAGGGATCCTGGTGGTGTTGGAACTGTTCAGTGTCTCGACTGTGGTGGTGGATATAGGAACTTACACAGGTGACAGAATTGTCTGGAACTTAAAAACACACACACAAAACTGAGGAAATTTTAATTTTAAAATACTAATTTTAAGGAATTTAAGGGATTGTATTTCTTCATACTCCAGAATACTGTAAAGTCATTCTTTAAATTATTTAAAATATTTAAAAAACAAAGTCTGCCTCAAAATAAAAATTGAATTAATCTAAAACACTTGCCCAAATTGTAGGCTTAAATTGTGAACATAAAACAGGCAAAAAGACACTTGAATAGGGTATCTGTTGTTTAGGAAGAAAGAAAGTTAAAGTCCTACTGGGGTTTTGTTTTGTGTTTTGTTTTGCTTTATTTTTAATAAAGAGAGAACTGACAAGAAAGAGGGAAACATGAAAGGCCAGGTGTTTTTTGTTGTTGTTGTTTTGGTTTTGGTTTTTTTTTTTTTTGTTTTTTTTTTTTTTTTTTTGCTTTCATCATGCATTTGAGACAGTTTAGCCAAAGTGGTCAAGTCCAAGCTCTGGTAGCTGGAGCAGTGTGCTTCCTCTGTAGTAAGGGCTGCTTCTCCCCCCCCCCCCCTTTTGGAGGCCCCGGCCAGGATGATTACCTGGCCTCCTCAGGGGAGGGAGGGAGGGTCCAGCAGCCTCCCCGTCCCAGCAAGCACAGTGAGTGACACCAAGAACCTCTTCTCTTGCCACAGCAGTTCCCGGTTGCGGTGCCCAGATGCATCACTTAGATACACTGGTCTCACCAAGGACTTTGGGGCCTATTTTCATTCCAACCTTTTTCCATTGCATGGAATGCTCTGAAAATCTGGGAATTCCCTAGCCACTGTCTCTAAAGGTTAACCCATGGTATTGAAATCACCAAAATCTATAGGATTGGTAAATCTTTCAGTTCTCTTCTGCCCTAAGAAATGAGTCTCTGGACTCATACCAAACATGGAAAATAAAAAGCTGTTGTTGTTGTTTTTTTTTTAAATTTATTTATTTTAAGATTTTATTCATTTATTTGACAGACAGAGATCACAAGTAGGCAGAGAGGCAGGCAGAGAGAGAGAAGGAAGCAGGCCCCCTGCTGAGCAGAGAGCCCGATTCAGGGCTTGATCCCAGGACCCTGGGATCATGACCTGAGCCGAAGGCAGAGGCTTTAACCCACTGAGCCACCCAGGGGCCCCCCAAAATTTATTTTTAGAAGAGGGGGAAAACTAATACTTAGGAGCAAGGCTGGGGGACTTACCAGAAGAGTTAAATCTGGTAAATGTGACCACAAAGAGATTGGGGCAGTATTTAAGCTTCAGTCAGTCCTGCTTTCAGGTGTGCATAAGGCCCAGCAGTGTGGGGGGCTCTTCTGCATCCACACCTAACCAGACATTGCAGAACCAGGAGAAAGAACCCCATGTGCCAATACACAACACATGCCCAGGCAGGCAGAGAAACCAGGAGGAGAGGGCTTACTCTAACAGCTCTCTGGCTGTCAGGCCCTCATGGGGGAGCTCTAGAACTGGTTACACCCTGTTCTTGATTGAAGCACTGCTAGTTGGTCAGGACAGAGGCAGACCTTATGGGGGTGGTGAATATTGTAGTCTGGGATAAAGCCAAGTGCCGTTTTGCAGATGAGTTATTTGTAGGAACTCAGGAAGTGGCTCAGGCAGGCTGTACCTATCCCCCCAGCCACCATCCCTGGTTTCCCAAGGGCTCAGGCCCATATAATCAATAAGGCTGCCTTCAGATTTTCCTTCAGTAGGAACTGACCTTTTGGCGATAGGCTAGATCAGTTGGGAAAATGTTCTCTACAAGGTAAAGAATGGAGGCCCCTTCTTGGAGTGGCCAAGAGTCTACCCAGGACTAAACATCCAATTCATTCATCTGTCCTGCTTAGGCATCACAGATTACACTATTCATCAACCACTTTACGTTACTACTTAAAAGATGGACTGTAAACAAATGAGAAAATAACAGTATATGTAGCTAATGTTCAGTGCCATGGGGAAGAAGGGGCAGGGGCAGATTGTGCAGAACGAGGGTTGCTATGTCATATAGGCTGTAGGAAGTCAGAGGATACCTCTCTCAGGATGCCATTTGAGCAGAGAACTGAAGGGAGCAAGCCTGGCAGACATTTGAGGAAAAGAGTATCAAGGAGAGGGGACAGAGAGTGCCAGTGTGGAGTGTGCCTGGCATATTCAGGGAAGAGCCAGGAGATCACAGTGAGTAGATTCAGGTAAGGGAAGGAATAGGAGGAGGAGAAACTCCTAGTGGTATGGGAGTCAGATCACAGACAGTTTTGGGGATTGTGGTAAGGGCTTTAAAAGCTTTGACGCGGGTGCTTGGGTGGCTCAGTGGGTTAAGCCTCCGCCTTCGGCTCAGGTCATGATCTCAGGGTCCTGGGATCGGGTCCCACATCGGGCTCTCTGCTTAGCAGGGAGCCTGCTTCCCTCTCTCTCTCTGCCTGCCTCTCTGCCTACTTGTGCTCTCTCTGTGTCAAATAAATTAAAAAAAAAAAAACAAACTTTGACGCTGAGTGGGATGGAAGCCACTCACTCAGTGGTTTAGCACGGTGGGATTAGCACAATCTTTCTGGCTTCTCTGTTGAAAACAGGTTGGGCAAGGGCAGGGACAGAAGCAGGGAGGCCCATGAGGAGGCTGGGGGTAATCTGTGCAAGAGATGATAACAGTTTGGATCCAGTAGTAGTGGGAGACTGTGAGCAGCAATCTCACTCTAGTTATATTTTGAAAATTGAGAAAAAATGGAGTCAGTGATGACTCCAAACAAAAGAATGGAGCTAAAAGAATGGAGTCCCCTCTGCTGAGAAGAACAAGGCCTTGGGAGGAACAGGCATAGGAAACTGAATCATGAACATGTTACGTTCTAACTGAAAATATTTATTGGCTCTGGAAGTCTGCAGTTAGGAGAGAGTTCCAGGCAGGAAATACAAATGCAGGTGGGGTTTGACATGTATCTGCTGACCTACAGGGGTACCTGATCCTCCCTATTTCTCCAGAAGGAGAGAAAGAAGCTATTAAAGGAAATAGACCTACCCAGGAGTTCCTAACATGATTGGAAAACAGGGCTAAGGACACCAAGTCCCACCCTTAGAGCGCCAGGGTCATTTGCAGGCTTCTCTTTACTCCTAGAAGTGGTGGGAGATCTTCCACTCACTCTTAAACAGTTAGGAGTACTAATGAGGTTTGGGAATGCAGAAACATTGTGGAATGCAGGGAGGGGCTCTAAATTATAAAGTGGGATGACCCCAAGGAACCCAGTCAAGGCTCTTCCTTGTGGTTTTCCTTCCACCCTTGCTCACTCAGCCCCTCAGCGTTCTTCGACCCCAGTCAGTAAGCTAATCTTTCTCTTTGCTCCCCAGCTACACAGATGTTATTGATGTCGTCCAGGCCCTGCAGACCCATCCGGACTCAAAGGTCAAGTCCTCCTTCACCATTGGTGCCATCACGGTGTGCGTGGATCCCCTGAGCTGCTACATGGAGCACAGGTACGTACTTCAGATCCTCTGTAGCCCACAGGATGTGGTGGCTTTAAATGCACAGAAAGCGATTTTCTTCCACCCACTGGAAGGAGACACATCTTTATGTGTGTTTGTCTTTTGGAATGCATTAGTCTACCTTATATATAATGAGTGCTCAGTTGTTGCTTGATTAATACTAGGTTCTCAGAAGACACCTATAGACTGGAGCCTCTCACCACTTTTCTTTGTGTACTGAAAAGTTGTCCATCTAGGGCAGTGAGACTTGAAACAGCTTCTCCAAGAAAGAAAGAATGCCCATGACAGCCTTTTTTTTCCTCTTTACTATAGGGGAGGTGCTTTGTTTTCCAGAGTACTTAGAGTATCTCATAGATAATTTTTCTATGGTTAAGCCTTTTTTTCCCCCTCATATTTATTTATTTGAGAGAGAGAGTATGTGTGTCTTAGCAGGGGGAGGGGCAGAGGGAGAGAGAGAATCTCTAGCAGACTCTCCGCTGAGCAGGGAGCCCAATGCAGGCCTTGATTCCATGATCCATGAGATCATGACCTGAGTTGAAATCAGGAGTTGGCCACTCAGCTGACTGAGCCACCCAGGTACCCCTATGGTTAAGCAATCTTAAAGCTGTCTTACCTCAGTTAATGACATTCATACTCACTACTAATAGGTGAACTTTTTTTTTTTTTTTTTAATTTTGGAAGTAATATAATAGCAGCAATGAAAATTGGGTAATAGGGGCACCTAGGTGGCTCAGTGGGTTAAAGCCTCTGCCATCGGCTCAGGTCATGATATCAGGGTCCTGGGGTCTGCCTGCCTCTCTGTCTACTTGTAATCTCTGTCAAATAAATAAATAAAATCTTTAAAAAAAATAAAAAAGATTCTCTCCCTCTGTTCCTCACCACACCCACATGCATGTGCTCTCTCTCTCTAAAAAAAAAAAAAAAAAAAAAAAAAAGAAAGAAAGAAAAAGGGAAAGAAAGAAAATTTGGTAATAATTTACCTATAATCTCACTAATTCAATGTAACTTATCATTTTTGTGAATTCCTTGCCTTTTTTATCTGCGTCTTTTTACAGTTATGAAATACATACAATTTTATATCCTTCTTCTTAGATTAACATATAACAAATTATGTAATTACATATTATGTAAGTTAATGTATTTATGTTCCAATATCACAGTGGTAATTGCATTTTGATTAATTATATAGTCATTATGTGTGTGGATGGACATGCTTATCTTAGTGGTTTCCCTGCTATTAGTCACATAGGTTGTCTCCAACTTTTCACTATTATAAATAATGCTGTGAGTATAATATCCATATAAATTTCTTAAATTTCTTAATTTATCCATATAAATTTCTTAAATTTCAGATAATTTCTTTAGAAAAGTTTCTTCAAAGAGATACTAGTTAATTAACAATCAGTTTTATAACTCTTTATTCACATTTTAAAATTGCTTTCTGAGTGGGTTTCACAGTTTACACTGCCCCAGTGGTATCTAGAAGTATCTGTTTCATCCTCAGAGCACTCCTTACTGGGGACAGGTTCAGCACTACCTTGTCCCTTCACAGAGCTATTTGTCCAGTAGCCCAGTGGAGTGTATCCTGGGTCCGTAGACATGTGGTCTTTCTGGCTAGTTCATATTACTGGTATCCCCTGGGAACTGATTGATCTACCCTTAAGCTTTCATCTGAAAGAGCTTTCTTCCTGTTTGAGTCCCAAGTTGATATCTTTAGATTTCTCATATAAATTACACTAGAGGGGCGCCTTGGTGCCTCAGTCCTTCATCAGTCATGATCCACGGATCCTAGGATTGAGTCTTGCATCGGGCTCCCTGCTCAGTGGGAGGCTTGCTTCTCCCTCTTCCACTCCCCCTGCTTGTGTTCCCTTTCTCACTGTCTCTCTGTCAATTAAATAAATAAATAAAATCATTTTTAAAAATTACATTAGAGGTTAATTCCCTTACCACCTCGACTGATACCAACAAACATCTTTACCATCTCTCTTCTCTTTAGCTGTGACTTCGGTTCTGCTTTCCCATAAAAAGCCAAGGTGGTCTGTTTTCCTTCTGTCTTAGGTTAGGTTATTGTAGTGAATGCTGAGCAGCACCCCATACTTTGGATTGCCACATTGACTCTTACATGTCACCCTTCCTACCAGTCCTGTTTCTTCACCTCAAGCTTTTGTTTATTTTTTTAAATTTAATTTTATTTATTTATTTGACAGAGAGAGATCACAAGTAGGCAGAGAGGCAGGCAGAGAGAGAAATGGAAGCAGGCTCCCCACTGAGCAGAGAGCCCGATGCGGGACTCAGTCCCAGGATGCTGAGATCATGACCTGAGCCAAAGGCAGTGGCCCAACCCACTGAACCACCCAGGCGCCCCATCAAGCTTTTGTTTAAAGATGAACCAAAGGGGCACCTGGCTGGCTCAGTCGGAGGAGCATACAACTCTTGATCTCACGGTTGTGAGTTTGAGCCCCATACTGGGTATAGCCATTACTTAAAAATAAAATCTTTCAAAAAAAACAAAACAAAACAGGGGCACCTGGGTGGCTCAGTTGCCTTCAGCTCAGGTCATGATCCTGGAGTGCTGGGATCAGTCCCCATGTTGGGCTCCCTGCTCAGTATGGAGCCTGCTTCTCCAGCTCTCCCTCCACCACTCCCCCTGCTTGTGCTCTCTCTCTCTCTGTCAAATAAATAAAATCTTAAAATAATAATAATACTAATAAAAAGATGAACTAAAGCAGGAGGAGGTTTAATGTGTGACTAGATACTACCCCTTAAAAAAGTTGGAAAAGTTAGGGTGCCTGGGTGGCTCAGTTGGGTTGAGCCTCTACCTTCGGCTCGGGTCATGATCTCAGGGTCCTGGGATCAAGCCCCACATCGGGCTTTCTGCTCAACCAGGGAGCCTGCTTCCCCCCTCTCTCTGCCTGCCTCTCTGCCTACTTGTAATCTCTGTCTGTCAAATAAATAAATAAAATCTTAAAAAAAAAAAAGTTGGAAAAGATAGTAATAAGCAAACAACAGATGGAGGTTATACTTTAGAAGAATTAGCCTAGACAAAAAAAAAAAAAAAAAAAATCAAGGAGAAGAGTTAACAGTGTAGGTGGGAACAGTTCAAAGAAATATAAACGGTCTGGGGAAGGGGGATCTTGGAATGATGTAATATTCTAAAATTGAATTATGGTGATAGTTGCACAATTCTGTAAATTTATTTTTAAAATCATTGAACTATATACACTTAAAATGAGTGAATTTTATGATATATGTAAGTTATACCTCAATAAAGCTGTTAAATAGAAAAGATCAGGGGAACTAAAGAGTTTAGCTAGCAGAAGCAGATGGAAAATGAACTGCTAGAGCCCTAGAAAGAAAACAGACAATAATAAAACCATTATACCAATGAAAATCTCAATCAAAGTACCGAGAAGTAGAATAGACCCTGTAAAAATTCAAGTCTGTCAGAGAACCTCAAGCTTGAGAAAATAACAAAATGAAGAGAAAAATAGGGGTGCCTGGGTGGCTCAGTGGGTTAAGCATCTGCCTTCGGCTCAGGTCATGATCTCAGGGTCCTGGGATGGAGCTCTGCATTGGGCTTTCTGCTCAGCGGGGAGCCTGCTTCTCCTTTCTCTCTGCCTGCTGCTCTGCCTACTTATGATCTCACTCGCTCTCAAATAAATAAATAAATAAATAAATAAAAGTCTTTGAAAAAGAAAAATAGACAAAGAAATGAAGATCATTAGAGGAAAGAGAAGGAGTGTAGAATACAGACTTAGATTTTGTGGGTGCAGAAACCATTTCTGCTTAATGCTTATGAAATATCGTTGATAATGGGTATGCCAACATGTGACGAATTAAAAGTCCTTAAGAGAATTCAAATAAATAAGTGAGAAATATATAAAAGTACTGAAGATGAGCATATAATCTATTTAAGTATAGAAATAAGGCTATGTTGTATGAATTAGGGTTGTGGATTATAAAAATATAAGTAACAAAATCATGGGTGTTAGGACCATGACTATACTAATTTCTTCATTTTTTTTATATACTGGGAGATCAAAAGTATTAAGTCAGTAACTCAAAGTTACTGATTTATTCACTTCTTAGAAATTAATGAGGTATTTCCAAATTTACCTTTGAACTCCTTCCAGAAAGTAATTTACTATAGGGGTTTACTAATGCTCTGTTGGAAAACTAATGATTAGTCCCTGCACATGGGCTATGGGCTGTTATATTCCATGTGCAAGAGGTCCATGTGAAATAGAGTAAGAGAATTGTGGCACCCATGATCAAGGATAGAACGTTATTAAATAAAGTTAAACCCATTCTGTAAAAAAAAAAAAAAATTAAATGGCCAGTGTTAAAGCCCATAAATTTTTTAAAAAGCAAAAATTTTTTACATGGCCAGCTATGGAAAATTTAAAATATGGCCATAGCAAAAACAGCCCTTTCCATCAAGAGTTGAAGAGTTGAATCTACTTCTTAGACCTTGAATTTGGGCTTGGGCACATGACTTGCTTTGGTCAATGGGACATCAAGATCCAAGAAATAAGCAGAGGCTTTAAAAGCATTTACACATTGGGGCTTGCACTCTCTTGCCTCTGAGAGCTGAGACCACCATATGAAGAAGCCTGGGCTAGGCTGATAGAGGATGAGAGATCACATGGAGAGATAGGCCATCCATCTCCCCAGCTGAGCTACCCCAAGCCAAAACAACTGCCCATCTAATCCACAGAATCATGAGGAATAAATACATCATTGTTATTTCAAGCCAATTTAGTTTTGGGCTGGTTTATTACATAGCAACAGTGTAGGAAAATTGGTACATTCGTATAGTGTTGATAGTAATATAAAGTGATATAATGTATTTAAGAACAAATTTGGCCATTCCATTGCTAAAATTTTGTAGAGTTGTATTTGTACAAATGTTCAAAAGATATATATTTGTAGGGGAGTTTGTTTCAGATGGAATTCTTAATTCTAAACAGTAGAGCCTACTCCGGTGTGTT